CATGATTACAAGTTTAATACTAATTATATACAACTATCTTATTAGTAATTTACAATTATCGCCTCAACATTTTACAACTATGACTTTATATACATACATACATATATATATATATATATATATCTAATAGTTAAACTAATCATGCATTACTAATAAAGTTTAACACTAATTTTTTACAACTATCTTATCAGTAATATTTTATAACTATAACTTTAAATATCTAATAGTTAAACCAATATTATTTTTGTACCTTAATTTTAAATTACATTTAAGTTGCGAGACTTATTTGTAAATAAGTCTACTTCATAGGACTTATATTTAATTTTTCCTAAAAAATATGTAACTTATCAATTTTTTATGCAATTAATAATATGATAAATTATTATTCAAAAATTCAAATGACAATAAATAAAAAGGAGTTGAAATTAACCAAAAAAAATTAATTGTTCTAACTTTACACTATATTAAAGATAAAAAGAAATTTTCAAACTTCACCTTATATTAAGTACAGGAAGAAAATGTTGAACAAAAAGACCTTATACTTGGGACAAATACATTTGAAAACCATCCAAGTTCCTTCATAGTAAAATCTATAACACAATATTAATGACTATAAAATTTATTAACAACTGAATTAAGATTATTGACACTATAGTAACCTTCAACGTAATTTTTTTTTATGCCGGACTTTAACGTAAATTTCCCTTTTATTTTTGCAGGTATAAATGATCACTGAGACAGCATATGGAAACTCAAGCTCATTTAGAAGCTAAACGTGCCGGAAAAGATGAAGGTGCTCCTTTGGCTGGTGGCAGAGGACAAATTGCACACTGTGGAGCTCACAATAAGAAGAGGTATTGCTTGACAACGGTGAAATGAATTTTGTTTGTTGCCACTTAGAATTATTTGAATATTTTTAATAATTACATAGGAGAAAGAAAGTGATGAAAGCCTAAAGAAAGACAAGGGAGAGATAATTGAATGAAAGCAGATTCATCGTGATTGTATTATCACAGTATGGGGTTACTTGCCAAACTATGTTTGAAGGTTTTTTTTTTTTTTTTTTTTTGTGGTTGCAGAAAATATAAGTACAACATTATAAATCCAATACAGTCATCAAAATGGAATAGCTATAGATTCATTATGATTCCTTTTGGTCCCATTGAAATTGAGATTACTTTCCTTGGCACAAAAAACGGAGATTACTTTTTGCTAGCATTCCCATCACAATTATGATGGTCGGACTTAATCCATATATTAAACAGGAAATGTATTTTGAGGCTCTACCACATGAGCCCGAAATCTTCATTAATTGGCTAATCAAGATTTCGAGAGAAATTTTTTTGAGAGTTTTCCTTGGAATCTAAAGTCTCTGTTTGCAAAATGATGGTTTAAATGCAGAAAGAAACAGACTAAGCAAAAGAGGAAAAAGTAAGCACTGAAATTACCACATGATTTGATACAAAAAGGTACTAAAATTACACAAGGGAGGAGAAGAAAAGGGAACACTAAAAAACGAGACACCAAACATGATTCTTAAAGAGATTTGATATTTCAGCCTTCTAGTGAGAGAAAATGGCTACAACATAGACCAGAAGAGAGAAACCTATTAACCAACAGACAAATAGGAAGCTGAGGCTGGTCCTGCAGACCCAGCAACCATTGATGATGGAGAAGGAGCCAAGTTATAGTAATTCTCCGGGTTAAGAGCATTAATCACCACATTCTTTGAGATCAAACACACTGTTGTCACAAAGCTCAGAGCTGTCACCAAAGAGAACATGTTGGGCAGGGCAATGGATTCTCCAGATTCTGAACCTTATGGTAAACCTAGTGGGGAAAAGAAAACAGAGCTTTTTGCCTTTTAAGATTGTTTTGGCTGAAAATGTGAGGAAAATTGCACAGATTTTTGACCAGTGCATGGGGAGTGAGCTGTCAAGAAGCAGAGTGATCGGTTTTATGTGATCATGTGGGTGAAATGAAATGTGTCTTAAGATTCCTTCCATTTTCTCACTTTCATGCTAATTAAAGTTGTCTACCTCTGCAGGTGCACCTTCCCTTTTTGTTTTTAGTTTGATAAATATGATAAAATATATCAAGGTCTTTATAGAATGACACGGAGTCTAAATGAATGAATTGCATTAGTTATTGGAATACAACAGCTTATTCTGCTGATTTAAAAATAAATATTTTAAATTTAATATTAATTTAATAGTGTCCATACACATGAAATTAAATTTAGACTCTCAATTTAATTAGTCAAAATCCAATATGATTGTAGATGTCAGATGATTTGAATAACTATGCTTCCAATTTTCTTGTGCTACTTAGTTTTGCTGTGGGTTTTTTCTCTTGGAGAATAGCAATAAAATTCCAAAATAGATAATTTATGATAATTTAAATCTCCAACAATATTTTCAAAAGTATAAATTACAAATATTTATTTAGATAATTGTAAATTTAAAAGTTCTATTTGTAAAAACATTTGAATTCTAAATGTAACTCCCAATTTACAATTAAATTTGTTGTTTATAATTATTTATATCAATATTTACAATTTATTTTTTAAAAAATTTTGTCAGAAATGTAATTGTCATAAATTTTATATCTTGAAATTTTATTGTCATTCTCCCTTCTCTTAGTTGGCATTATAATAACTGGATGGAAGCTGGAATTTGTGTCAAGTATTATAAAAATTATACAATAATGTATATTTAAGTTTAAACATATATTTTAAAAAAAAATTCATTTCATCCTTTCCAACCATAATTTTTTTTTCCCTTCTTGCCAACACGTACCAAAAAATGACTCCTCTTTGGTTGAATAATCAGTTCAGTCTGCAAACAATGGCTCAACCAAGCATACATGGCACAACAAAACAAATAATTCTGAGGGGAAATATGCACAAACTAGATACCACTGAAGCCACAATGGTCAAGACTCTATAAATAATGTATCTTTATATACATGCATTGATACTACATACAAACAGTGATGATATTAAGATTATCATACATGACAACCTAGGAACAAAAGAAAATAGGGGGTGCTAAGAGGTAATAACTTGCAAAGGCAGAAAACAATTACACAGGTACTATTTACAAGTTGCAAGGAAATTGACATGGCGCTGGTACCAGAAGGGCCCTCTTCAAATCTCCAATGTCTTAACATTTAGATGATGCTAACCTTTCTAAAACATTATGCCGACAAAAGGGCACGACAAGTTCACTGACATTATCATTGACGTCAACTTTACAGCATTCAGGAAAATGCAGCTCGGCCTCGTTGCACCAAGCCTTGGTAACATATGGGTACGACCTCACATCCAAGTATTCTAGACTACTGCATTTGCTCAAAAGAAAGCCTATACCTGCCACTGTGATCCTTGGAGAATTCTTAACATTCCAAAACTTCAAATTCAAAGCTTCTTCTTTTTCACTGCTGCTTATAAGCTGGAATGCAGCATCTGTCATCTCTTCACAACCACCAAGGTTCAAAGCTCAATCATTCAATACACCGCTCAATGATGAGTCATAGATGCTTAGACACCAAACCATTTGCAATAAAATTTCTTCTACAAGATGTAGCCAGCAACTTTATTGCGTCATTGGAGACATCCCGGCAATCACCAATGATTAAGGTCTCAAGATTATTACAGAATTTGGCCAAGGATGCGATAGCTTCATCCCCAATCTTATAGCAGAACAAAAATTTCAGTGTCTTGAGAGAAGATGAACAAGCCCCAAAAATGCAAGAGATCCCTACATCACCAACATAGTTGCATTTGTTGATGTCTAAATACTTACAACCACTTGTGAGGTCTGTTAGTCCCTTGTGTGTGATATTTATACACTCTTGCAACCCCAACACTTACTAAGTTGTGACAGTTCTTGGAGAGCGCTTCTAATAAGTCATCTGTATCAAATCCGCATCCAGCCAGATACAAAATTCGTAGGTCAAGACAACCCCTTGGCTACTGCTGATAATCACTTGTCTGTCACCTTTCTGCAGGAGGATATGTCCAAACATTGCAATTTCGAAAGAGTCTCAACAATTGCAGCCATTCCAATGTCTGATTCCTTTATATTACCAACACAAACAATACCCTGTCAAAATCATTTTGAAACTTTTAAGTAGGATAAATAGATGATACTCCGAAAAGTTGAAAAACTTGACATCGTTCAGAATCTGACGATGTGAAATGTTATGACACTATTGTTCCCACCAACCAACTCTTTTCCCTTTATCTATCTATTTATATATTGTCTCTCACACAGCATTTACATCTGCAAAACTAGAAAGCTAGGTGGGAAGGATTATTCCTTCACCTTTAAAATTGCTACAATGACAATACCAACTTGCCAAGAAGATAGTTCTTCTACTTAAGCTTCAACACTCTCTGAACCAAGCCCCCGATGTTTGAAGGTTACGACTTACAAGTCATCTCGTCAAGTGGGTAAATGGGATGAATTCTACTAACAGAAAATGAAACCAATGAACAGTGGAATGAAGACTTGAAAAAAAACATACATTATAATTCCAACCACCACAAACTACAGTACAGGGCAAAATATCGAGTTTCAGCTCAAGCCCTACTAACAGTAAATAGTAGGACCAACATTTTGTTCGTCAATAATCACCTATAACTGAAATAACACGATCTATATCAACTGAAAATCGGAGCTAATTAGAGTTCAGTCCATGGATCCTAATCGCAAAAGCCAAAAATAAACAACATAGAAAACTGACCTTTACAGTTATGCAAATTAAGCGCCCCAAAGCGCGTGAAACAACTGACGATGAGAGAGAAGTCAAAATCGGTATGGGGCGGGAAAAAAGAAGAGAGAAATTGATCGAGAGAGATCCAGCTTTACCAAACGGGTGAACCTGCTGTCCAATCGCAGGAGCATGTGGGACCCAGCGCGAGAAGTAAGATTCTCCCCCTCGCTGCTCTGCAAGTGAAGCCATCTCTTACAAACAAAGCCAAATATCTCTTTATCCTTGTCGTTATCGAGCCTCGCCTTGATGTACCGGAGCTCACGGTCCGTCAGAGAATCGTTGAAGTCAGGGGCGGAGTCCGAAACGGCGTCGTTTGAAGCCATTGCCGATGTTCCGATTTCAAAATGGCACCTTGCCAAAGAACCGTGCAGAAATCCGACGGTTCGTTCAGAAACCGTGGCAACTACCCACGGTTCGTTACTTGAACCGTGGGAAGAGCCACGGTTCCCCGTTCCCTATAAATACTCTCAGGGGCGTCATCTCCTTTCAGCACGCTCAAGCTTTTCAGTGAGGTATGCTCTAGTTTTCCTTCTTTTAATTAATTTAAAATTTTCAATTCTTTTAATCTTTAATATTTGATATATTTATATATTTATGTAGTTGGATCTTCAGCGTTCAAGGTCAAAAAGAAAATCTTCAGCTGGGTTTTCAGATTTTATTTAATCACATCAGCCTTTAAATCTGAGGTAAGTTTATGTTGATTTATAACTTATTTTGTTTGAGCTGAAGATGAGCATCAGCTGTTCCAGTTGCTTTTGTATAATAATACGCTGGCCGGGGAGAGGTTAACTCAGTGGATGAAATTACTTCCTTGACCTTCTTATGTTTTCAATTTTAACTCTTGCCACTCCCACTTGTCACTTTTGCATGGTTTAAGAGTAATGATGTTTACATGTTGTAGAGCATTGATAAATTATTATTTTTTAAAAAAAATTAATCATTTAATTTTTATAATTTTAATTTAGTTTTAATTTAGTCTTTAAAATTTTGATTTGGTTGTAGATCAGCCCTGAACTTTACTTCTTGTAATTTAGTTTATAAAATTTTAATATCTTAAATATTAGTCCTTATATTTTAAAAAATAAAATTATAAAGTTTAAAAATATTTTAAACTTTTAACATTTATAATATTTATAAATATTAAAAGGGTTTAGTAATTTAAGATATTAGTAATAAATTTTAAAATATTTTTAATCTTTATAATTTTATTTTTTAAAAATATAAGAACTAATATTTAAGAAATTAAAACTTCAAGGACTAAATTATAAGAAGTAAAGTTTTGAGATTGATTTACAATCGAGTCAAAATTTTAGAGATTGAGTTATAACGAGTAAAAGTTTAGTAACTGAATTATAATTGGATCAAAACACTAAATGATTTATTTTTTTTATTTTTTTTAAACTTCTATCATCACCATTCTCCAAGATTATGATAATTTCATGATGTTTTATTTGTTTATATTATTATAAATGATTTTTATTCTTGAAAAATTTCTCACATTGTAAAATTATAATAAATATTTAAAATAAAAAAATTAAGCAACTTATTTAGCCATTTAAAATCACCCGAGGCCCCAAGCCCCCAACCTTTGGCTCTGGTCCCGCCCCTGTAGACAGCAGCTATGCTTATACAGTGGAATTGCATTATGACCTTCGGGGAAGACTGTGTTTTCAGATTCATTTAATTTTATCTTAGAAGAGATGCGATCTATGTGGAGAATACTTTATATAGATAGTTGTTTGTACTTTGTAGTGTTCCGAGTGTATAAGCTGTCACAAGGCATTAGGAAGATGATGGAAGGGTTAGGTTTTTCTTTTCAAGGAGCCGGTGAACCAATTTGGCTAAAATTATGAATCCTCTTCAATGTGGTATGTGACATAAAATAATGCTTAAACAAATTACCTTGAAGCATATTGTGGTCTATGGATACTCCGGATCTGAATTTGGTGAAGTTGTGAACAAAGAATATATTGTTAAACAGGAGAGAGAGCAACTCACTGGGAATATATATCAAGAGAGAATGAGTTTATTTTGCTGGAACAAAGCATCTTATAATGTTGCTCATTATGAAATCATAATGACCAAAGTGTTCCTATTATCTTAAATAGGATCAATAATAACACATGTGCGCCTTATAAATTAGAGTCTCTTCTGGTATACTATAATTGAATATTTTTCTAGCCTATTATGGTCATTCAATTAGACTCAATCTATTTTAAAGTAGTGCACAATATAACATAAAGATTACTTAATACTTACAATACTATTTTGGTTATGAATTTGTAATTGATTGCTAATCTATAAAGATTCAACAATATGCTCTTTCCATATGGCTACTTACTGTTTGATTTCTATGAACCTGCACTGGAATAATGTTATAGATTCTAAGGATGACTTTTGGTTATTCTTGGATTGAATGGAAACCACCATGGGCTAGAGGTACCTGTAGAAGGGATGAACTCTGCAACGTGTTTTAGTAAACTCTCTATCTTTTACATAGAAATTGGCTTGCTTAAAAATTTTCAGGAAAATACAATTATTTGTTTTCCTAGTTTTGGGGACTTGATGACTGTGGATGAAGTTTGGAGAGAATTGGTGCTGGAAGCAAAGAGTCCTTTTCCAGATTTTGTGCTAGTAAACTTTTTTTGGATCAATGGAGGATGGGTTTCCTTTATTTGGTCTTCTATAAAATGAGATCAATTGATCTATACATTCGGGACCATCTATATTTTCAGCAAAGTGAATCTCTGCTTGATGTTCTTTTTTGTTGAGAGAGACACCTTGGTGCCTCGGTGGCTAGTGAAATCTGGAAAGTCATTTGGGAACTGAAAGTTCTAGTTAAGATTAACTCGCAGAGCCAGGACAATAGGAATTTGGATGCTTCTAATGCTAGGTCAAGGGAAGGTGGTGTTGTTCTTGTTTGTGTCGATGGTGTAGGTTTCATTTTATGGATTAACAAGGCCCTCGTGTACGGATTAAGGGTATAGTATTGAGATTTGGGTCAACCTGTCCGGTTGAACTGAAACTATTAAATTGATATTTTAACCAGTTTAATAAAGTACTTTATTTATGATCGATTTAATTTCGGTTCAATTTCAATTTTAACAATTAATCCTTGAATCAATATCTTGACCAGGTTTTCAGTATCTTATTCAAGGAACATGTGGCCCTAACGTCATCCTCTTCTGGCTCTAAGGTGGAGGCAGAGTGAAAAGCTCTTTCTTGGTATTCTAATCATAGTTTGCACAGATAATTTCTTTTATGTCGGACTGTCTTTCTCTAGTTGATGCTGTAAGCAATATTGTTGTATGTCTAATGGTGGGAACATTCAACAATGGCAGATAATATTATGAATCTTGGTCACTCACTGGCAGAATCTGCTTTTAGTGGATCTAAAGAACCAATAACCTGGCTGTAGATTGAGTATATGTTTGGCTTTCAGTTTATATTTTGCAAAAACACATTTGATAGATTCAACTATTTGTTGAATTTTACAAAAGTACATCTCAAATATAATTTGAACGTGCTTTTGAAAATTATCTAAATAAGAGTTACTTGTGTTGGATGTGCTCTTTGGATTTGATTTGAACTGGGTTATTAAACTCGCATCCTAACTGGCTCAAATCCTAGACCATATTTATTTTAGATCCGGGAATCTGACATAGATTACTTTTGCTGCTGCCTTTTTGTTGTTTTCATTTCTGTTTTTCTTTTCTTTTCTTTTCTTTTCGAGTTTCTATCGCTTTCTGATGTTACTGTTGGTGTTACTCCATTTTTGAATGATAGTATTTCTTTGGCAAAAAGGAAAAAAAAAAATTGATGTTGGATGAATTATTTTAGTGACTTGGTTATCGATATAATAATTTTTGTATTTGCAAATATATTTTGATATTTTACGTTCAATATTTTTCCTTCTTTTAGTTGTTTTTCATTTTAAATTTGTTAATAGTTCTTTTCTGTCTTTAATGATAGGTATATTTATATTTCTATGTAATTGAATGCCGGGGTTGATTTTCAAATTCTATCTTATCACAGCAACGTTTGAATCTGCTGTAAAGTAAGTCTATGTTGATTTATTTCCTATTTATTTTTAGTTTGATGTTCGATAAATTATTTTAGTAAGTGCAAATGATATCATGATTGTATTAATTATATAATGATTGATATAGTAATTTATTAATAATTTCGTGTTCAGAAAATGGACAAAGATTTGATATCTGAAGGTTGCAGCAGAGAAAATCTCAATGAAAGGCAACAGGAGCCTATTCAAGAACAACCAGAACCAGAAGATACACAGAATCGGCAGTTTCGTCGTGGACGCCCTCACCAAAACTCAAGAAGAGGAGGATATAGAGTCACAATTACGGGTACGTAGAGTTATATATTTATTCTGGTAAACGAGTGTTTAGGTTGATTAGTGCTTATCAACAAGACACTAAGGTCTTTACATCAACGATAACTAATAGAGCCAGGAATATGAACTGCCTGTTTAAGTCATTCTTTTTCCTTTGGCTTTATACTTGAAAAATTTGTGTAATTAGGATTTTAAGTGTGTATTTAGATTAAAAAATTTTCAACTGAAATTAAAAATCAACTAAGGTTAGCTAAATGAGATTAGGAAAAAAGTATGTAAATGTAACATGATTTATGTTTGAATTTTTTTTTTAAGTTAGTTCAACAAATTGAAATTTGTTTAGATAATTTGATTTAAAAGTTAATTAAAATGTATATGACAAAAATGGACATAAGTTTTCTTGTATATTTTAATGAAAAATATTAAAGTTTAAGTTATAATTTAAAAAAAGGAGTTCATACATAATTTATTGTTTGTAAATTATAAAACTCTAAAGTAAATTAATAAATTACAAAATATTAAATTATAAAAAAACTAAAATAACCCCATGTACAGGTAGTAAAAAAGTCATTCTAGATTCAACGGTTGGAGTCTAGAAATATCCAAAAAATAAAAAAAAATAAGAAAACAACTTAAATAAAAACCAAATAAAGAGTTTATTAAGTTTAAAAATATAGATGGTAGAAGTCAAAATTATTCAAAGAGTGTGAATGTTAACAGGAGTGGACAAGGGACATTATGGTAATTAACAAATAATAGAAAAATATAAATAGCATTACATGCTGTCAGGATGTGTCTAATGCTAGAAGCCAAAATCATTAGCTTTTGGCCTAACTAAAGTTTTGGGATAACAGTTAGTTTAAAATTTTTTTAAATCAAACAAAACATAACGAGCTTTTTAATCTCAAATCTCGAATCCTTCAAACCTCAGTTACAATCTTATCCAAACATACTCTAAAATTGGCCCATTTAAGTCCTATAAAATAGATTATGATAACCTGTTTAGGCTTGTTTCTTGTTTTAACAAAAAAAAAATTAATTTTTAAATTAAATTTAAAATTTAAAATTAAAATTTATATTACTTGTTTTTTTCAAAAAAAAAACTTATTTTTAATTTTTAGATATTATAATTTTTATTTTAAAAAAAGAATTAAAAATTTTTATAAATAAAAAAGGGCTTTTCGGCCAAAGGTTGAACCCGTCCATTTACCAATTCTAATGGTAAAATAAAAAAAATTATTTTTTAATGATTTTTTTATTTTTTTTTTAAGATGAGAATGGCCATAGTTCTACTCGAAACATGAAGGGAAGTGATGTTTTACTGCTTGGACGTGGCGAGAGAATTCAAGTGGAATGGAATGAATTTAATCAACCAATAGGAGAAGGCGCTGGGATTTTAGGAAGTTTCCTAAGAATTGTTGCGAGTGACTTCGACAAATTTTCCCTTGAAGTACCCAAACTGGCACAAGATGCCAGATCAATTAAAGAATCATGCTTACACAAACATTATCAAGGTACTTAATATTAATAATTATACATACAAAAAAAAATTTTATTTGTTTTTGGTATAATTGATATTAATTGTTATTAATATGTTTTTATTATCATATCATGTATGTATGTTATGCAGACCCACTTTATTGTGAATGATGCTGAGCACAAACATTTTATTTTAATGGCATTGGGAGCAAATTGGAGAGAGGCTAAGTACAAATTATTTAAAGATGAATAAGACCGCACTTGTAACTTGCAAGATTTGAAAAATAATGTTCCTCATGGCCTCTCTAAAGAAGATTGGGAAGCATATGTTGATTATCGTACACGTCCGGACACAATGGTAATATTAAATTGTTCTGGAGAAGATTTTATTTTAATATTTATATATGTTAATCTTTGTAAATGTTATTTTTTTTCTATAGGCGATGGCTAGTCGTAATGCTCAAAATAGGGGCCTGAAAAAGATTCATCACACAAGTGGGTCTTTAAGCTTTGCAAGGAGGAGGGGATATATGGTAATTTTTAATTTATTTGTTATGAAAAATATTAATATGTCTTGTTCATTTAACGAAAAATATTTAAATTAAATTTACTGTTATTGATAGGAAGAAGAGGATGATCGGCCAGTTAACATCAAGGAACTATATGAAGTCACACATTTAAATAAAGAAGGCAATCCTTGCAATGAGGAAGCAGCAACAGTCATGGTAAGATTATGAGTTGCCTAATAGAAACTGAATAATTAAGTGACAAGTTTAAGGGTTTGTTTCGTTTTACTGTTTTTAAAAACAAAAATTAAAAACATTTGTTTGAATAAATGCTTTGAATTTAATTGTTTTCAAAATTATTCTCATTTTTTGTTTTTTTTTTAAAATAAAAACATTTAAAGCTGTTCTTTTTTTTTTCAAAGTACATTACATTTTATTATTAAAAATGACAGTTATCTTGACTAATTATTATCATAAGCTACCATTATTAACAACTAGCAACTATCATTTTTGATTTATTCTGTTTTGTTTTGAAAAATAGCTTTAAAAATATATTGCAAAACAATTTTTTTAAAAAAAATAACATAACCAAACATTTCCTTAATTTTTCTTGAATTCAACTTTTTTGATTTTTATTTTATTCTTTTAATAGGAGAAGCTTAAAGAATGTGAAAATCATCATTCTTCATCTGAGGCCAATGCCAATAATGACATTTTAGTGAGAGTTATAGGCCCAGATCATCCAGGGGGCTTAGGAATGGGTCCCACTCCAACACAAGTTTATGGGTCAACTTTGTCAACAAAATCATTTAAAGCTCATTCACGTAAACGTACAAAGAATCCAAACAATGTAACCCTACGAAATGAAGTTGAAAGATTAAAAGCTGAAAATATGTCTTTACGTTCACAAATAGATGAGTTGATGAACCAAATCAAACCGAGATTAGATGAGATGGAAGGCAGTAGAATGGCTCAAATACAAAGTTTTAAGACCCGAACCGACCCGGACGGTCGGACCGGTCGGACTGTCGCCCGCTGAAGAAAACGGGCTGGTTCAACCAATTAACCTGGATTAGCAGTTGGCCCGGGTTGGCTCGCCTAGAATCGGACGGTTTTTAAAGACCCGGGAAAAACCCGGAACCCGGAGCGGGTTTTACGGGTCAACAGCGAGTCGCAAAAAAATGACAAAATTGATATTTTTAAAAATAAAAAACCCTTCTCCTCACTCTGTCTAGCAGACCAACACCTATAAGGACCCATTCTTCTTCTTTTTAGTCTCACTTCTCTCCGTCTCGCACAATGCACGCACTCATTCTCGTCATCTTCTCAAATCTCAGCCATCTGGGTTTTGTTCTATGTGTCATCTCCCTCAAGCCACTCAGCCTTCTAGGCTCTATCTTCACCGTTCAGCCATCTTGGACTCGCTTTCTCAACCATTTGGGTTCTATGTTCACCCTTTGTTGTCTTCACCATTTAACTTTAGCCATCTCAAACTCTCTCAAACTTCAAATGTTTATTTGTTCTTCATCTTCACTTCACTTTCTTCATTTTGGTTTGTGACTTCGTGTTCTTGATTAATTCTAGTATAGGCATCCAGTTGTTGAAAACAGTCAGATGGCGTCGAGCTCGACCCCTTTCATGATTCTTCATCTTCTTTGTTGATTGCTCTCTCTCTCTCTCTCTCAGTCCCGGTGAGATTTTCTTTCTCCCTCATTTATATCTTTACCCAATTTAATGTAATCTCTATGGTTCTAAATGGAGTAGAATGAATGCTAATAGATGAGCTTGCTTTTTATTATCTGAGCTGTTTATTGCAGATTGTTGAATGGATAAAGATGAATCTATTTTGTATTGTCTAAGAGTTGTTTATTGCAAATAGAAGTTTTATTTTTTTTAAATGATCATGCCTAAATTCTGATGCATTCAAGAATCTAGTGTTGTATTTGTTAACTTGTTTCTTATATATATATATATATATATAAAATAATTTTTTATTTAATTATTAGGTCACCGGTCCAACCGCCGGTCTGACCGGTTGAACCATGAGACCCGTGACCCATTGATATTTTCGGTTCGCTGTCCGGTTCGGATTTTAAAACATTGCTCAAATAGAAGCTGAAAGGAAGCGAATAGCTGAATTCGAAGCTCTATTGATACCAATGGCTGAAATGAAAGGTCGAATGGATGCAGTGGCTGAAATTGAAACTCAAATGAAGGCAATAGAAGAGAAATGGATACAAAACTACCTTCGAGTAAATATACCTAATTTTTTTATTTACATATTTTTATTTATCACAAATTTTTATAATACCTCTCATTTATTTTATTTGTAGGGACGTTCTTCTTCCAATGCATGTCGGGGTTCAGGTACAAATAGGGATCAATCTCCAGAATCCTGCAATAAATGATTTTGCCTGCGGCATACATTTTGTGTTTGTAAAAAAATATTTAGATTAATTGTTTAAGAACTATGTATTAATTAATTTCTATCATGTGAGTTAAAATGGCAACCTTGGATACATTGTTATTATCTGTATTGGATTTTTCGAGAAGTATTTCATGTGTTGGCTGTGGGGAAAAAATTATGTGTTGAATTTTTTGTTTGGTGAACCACGTGTTGAATTCTAATAGTGAATATTTCTTATTTGAATTAATTATGACTTATATGAAATAATGTAAATTATATTTTCTAATTAATTATTTCACACTAATCATGAAAAAAAAAATATTTATATACGTGCATGAATCATGTCTGAATTCAGCATATAGTTTTGATTTATTTAAATTATTTAAGTACATGTTCCACCCAAGATTTAAAATTAGAGGAACAATATGCTAGTGTTTTTATTTTGTTCCTTGGATTAAAATTGTCATCATTAATAATATATATCATAGAAATACTATATAGTTAGGATGAATACTATAAGGACTTGTTTGACTTATAGCACAAAACTTATATATTTAATATACTTTTTATGATAAGACATATAAATTTTAATATGTTAATAATAACATTAATGACAAGAATTTATTATAAATTATGTTTTTAACTTTTTAGAAAACAAAGGATTGAAAATGTAATTTTACAACCATATTATGTCTGAAAAGTTTCCAACTCTCCATAAACTTAATAAGTTAATAATTATTTCATTTCATAATATTCTTTTGTCATCCGATTATTTGGGTGACACTTATTTGTCATTTTTCTCCCTAAGGTATAAAAATAAAAGTCATTTTTATTTGGAAAATATTCTCCATGTTTTTAAGTAAAATATAGAAATTACTATTAAAAAATATTGGAATAATAAAACACCTAAAAAATAAGACATATTATCTTTCATCCAAAATAAGAGTATTATTTAAAACCAATGAAAAACGAAATTTTGTTCTAAACATTTCATTGCACATGAATTGTCATTTATATTTCAAATTCTTCATAATTCTCGGAAATATTTATTGACTTTCAACTCAAAAACTGGTTTTTTTTTTCCGAATTTGATAAAATTCCATCCTCTGGCCCAGCGTGTCAAGTTTGGTAGTTGCCTTAATACACAAGAATCATTTGCAGTTCCTTAACTCTAGCGAGTACGAACCTCTTATTCGGAAAATCTGTATTTATTAATTAAATTAAAACGGTTTAATTTATCGAAGCCTGTATTTTAATTTCGTTTTATCAGTGAGAGGATCAGTCCAATACGGTATACAGAATTGAAAGAGAAATTAAATAATGCCCAATGCAGAGAACTTTATTCGAGTCTCAAACAGATCAATCCATCACAAACCCTTCAAGAACATCCCCACAAGAAAGAAAAGAAGGAAAGATTGCACCCAGCAAACCAAACAAAACATGCAAAAACCAGTAAGTATTACAATAAATTAAAGCAGAATTTCAGATCCTACCTCCTTTTCTCGCTCAGAAACCTCTCCTTCCACAAACAATGTCCCTTCTTCTCCTTCTCTCTACAAACAATTATGAATATATTTCATAATAATATAACCGTCGCTCAGATCTACAGGTACATGGCAACAAAGGAGAGGACGGAGGCGCCAACGAAGGAGCCGAGAGCGGCGGCCCCGCTGGTCGGTCCGGGCGCAGGAGCAGGAACCTCAGATTCGGCCACGACGGCGGTGAGGGAAGCGGTGGCGAGAACGACGGCGAGGGCAAGCTTCTTCATCTCCATGGCGGATCGGTAAACGAAGAGAAACTTCTTTGTGATGTTGAAATCAAAAAGAAGTTTGATTTACCAAACGCGCCTTGTACAGAGAATGAGAATATATGCAGCCTGAGTCTTAATGCTAAGGGTTAGGGATGCTTTTATAGCCTCTTTGGGTGGAGAAGGAATTGTGGTTATTTTGTTTGTTTCCAAATTATAAGATTGGCTTTCCTATTTTTTGGATCATAATTTCCAATAATTGCTTAATTTCCAATTTTGCATGCAGGAAAAAGTGGTTGAGTTCTTTTGTCGTCAATTAATTGACCGTTTCTTGGGGGGCAATATTTTGTTATTGAGATTTTTTTTTGTGTAAAATAATATTGACAAGCATAATTGGTCTGTTTTAAAAATTGCTTTAGACTTTGATCAGTAGGATTCGGTTAGCATAAGAAGGGACTCCCTCGCAACATAATAAATTATAATTCAATTTTTTGCTGAGAAAAATAATTATATTTAATATTTTGATTATGTCTTAAACAATATTGTTTTTAAATAAAAAGACACCCCTGCAAAATCAAAAAAAATGGCTTGGACCTTTTGAAATGATTAGCATATTTGGGACAAGCGAAAAATAGTCTAAAATTTTTTAAGTTTTGTGAAAAAGTCAATTAAAATTTTTTGTATTTAAATGTAAATAGCCTTCGAGGGAACAAGGTTGAAAAATAAAAATAATATATTTTGAGTCTATATAAATGCAAAAAAATGTATTTAAAAGAATTATCTTGAATAAAACACAATAATACTCGAACTTGACTCGGTCAATAATAATTGTGTAAAAAATGTTATTTTTTTTAAGAGGTGAGACCTACTTTGATCTAAGAAACTTTAACCCATTTTATTTAATTTTTTAGAAAATAGTAATATTAATGTGGAGAAAAGGAAATTAAAAGTTGATTCTTTGTTGCAATTGGGTGTTGCTAGGCTGTGCATGTGAAAGCAATGATTCTCTTGCGGTGGCTAAAAGAGGAATTGATCTGTCAAAATGACAACTCAAATTTTGTAGCCTTAATATTCTCAAATGATCATGCATGTGATCCAAATCGTGTAACCATAGAAAGAAGGAATAATGTACCTAAAAGTTATGCAACATCATTATTCTTTTATAATCTTGAGATGCTTCTATAAGTAGAAGAATATATTAATCTGGAGCTAAAGAGTAAGTAGAATTTTCTAAAATAAAGAATAATTTTATAAAAATTATTAAAGTAGATAGTAGTATAGGATAATTTTTATTTTAAAATAATTTGGGAATATTTTTTAAAAATACATATTTCAATGAAAACCTACAATATCTGGGTATATATATTTTGGAAACAAAAAAAAACTATATCTTCAACAAAACTTAAAAGTATTGCCTAATGATTCACTAAAAAAATTGGTGGACTAAAAGTTAATTAAAAATTCAAATTTTGGGATTCCTCTCCTGTCTATAAATTGGAATTGCCTTTCTGGTGGAAAAATCAATAAAGTAAATTCAAGTGTTGAACCATATTTTGTGACTTTCATAATTTCATTAAAAAAGAAAAAGAAACTATGTTCAATAGTAGCCATCTCTTCTCCCAAAAATCGAAGTCACGATCGTCCATGATATTAAACATTTTTAAATATGTTTTTAAGTTATCCATTTTTAAAGTGAGGTTCTATTCAGTAAAATCGGTTTCTTTTAATTTTCTTTATATGACTTTAACTTTATGAATTTTTTCCTGTTGTTAATATATTTTATTTTTCTTTAAAAAACGAAAAAAGAAACCATGTTATGTGACTCGTGAGAAGGGTCTAGAATTTTGGCAAAAAACTAAAGTAATAAAGGCAGAACTTTATTAAATGTATCTGGCCAAAGATTAGAAAATTTTATCGATACCCCATACGTACAAACAAAAGTTCTTTTTGGTGTGACTTTCTTAGCTTTTGGTATAATTTTGAAATCGTGGCCTGAACAACAGTAAAAGAATATAGCTTACCGAACAAGGAATTAAACCTTTTATTGCAATATTATAATTAGAAAAAAATGATATAAAAATTGAGATTATGTGTGATTTTTTTTTGGTAGCAAATCAAACCCACAAAATAATAAATAATCGAAGACTTTATAAATTTTTCGCCGGAGGGCCTTTTTTTTTTTGGAAAAAAAGAATGTATTGACAAATTACCTCATTCTTTTCCCCCATAAGGAGTGTTAAAAAGGAGAACGTGCGGACCAGAATAGAAGACTTGGCACCTAAGAATTCTAGATGTTTTTTTTTTTATCTTTCCTTGTCTCGTATTTTTTTACTGTTCATATTAAATTAATAATTATTTTTATATATGGAAAAAAAATTACTGAATTCATTATATTTCACCTTATATTTTAAGAAAAATAGAGTGAGTCATGCATTATCACGGCAGAATTGCACTGCAGGCCTCCAAAACTAACTTATTTACATTAAAGACTCAATAGAATTTGAAATAATTTTGCAAGCCCAAATACCTCTCTTGCAATTAAATTTTTTTGGTGAAAAAATGGAATTGCTTAGAGTTAAAGAAAATTAATATTTTAATTATGTGAATATCTTTCTTTTTATTTTAATTTTTTTTCTAGTAGGAGTTTATGACGCATAACATTTACTCACACCTTACCCCACCTAGAAAACATTATCAATAAACCAAAGCAAACCAAAGATCAAAAAGATGTGGTAAGTTATACGAGTTTTATGAGCTCAGAACAACCTTTAATTTTTAAGTCTCATGAAGTCCACAGGCTTTGTCAGCATAATAGCTAGGTCATCGTTGGATACATATTTTCGTGATTTTTCCTTGGAATTTATCATGTATATTTAATTTATTTTTTTCATTTTTTTTTACCTGTTTTGTGTCATGAAGTTTATTTGTAATTGGGTGGACTGATATGTCTTTTGTGTTTTGATTTTGTTCCATATCGTTAATCATGCTTTCCTCTTGTTCAGGTTTGTAAATTTGCCATTTTGTGCAATATTTTGTAGTTGGCAGTCGTTTAGCAATAAACCAATAGTATAGGGGCCTAAAGTGCAGTTATGACTTGTCAGAAGTTAGAGGGCAATGTCTCAGACTTGGTTTGACTTGTCTCCATTTTTTTAACCATCCTTTTTCCCCCACTTCTCCAATTATTATCCTTTATTAATTTATAATTAAAAAATTATTTAAGAAAATAATATAAATAGTAAGAATGGAGAAATGGAGGGAGAAAAATGAAAAGGTCCTTAGACCCGGTTTGATATGGTTACGTGAAAAGCGGACGAACTCACAAATCAACCCTTACATGACAAGCGACTTTTACTTCAAACATTCTCTAAGCTTTCACAAAGAATGGGTTCCTGCTTCGCATG